CACTTCTGACCTCTTTCATTTATCTTTTGGGGGAGTCTGGGGTTGGTTTTTATCCTTCACAAAGACCAAAACCGAAAGCCCCGCGCCACCCCCGGGGTCTGCAAGGTGCGTGGAGAATTGGAGTAAATGCCAAGAGGCCACTTGTCCCCAGGTGTAGCAAGGTGTCACAGAGACAGCCCACCGTGACAGCGGCCAGCCCCCCACTCCGCATCCAGACCCCCATCCAGCCGCCCTGGCATCCAGACCCCCATCCAGCCGCTCTGGGGCTGGCTTTGCCCATGGGGCCGCTCCAGCCCAGTTCGTTAACACTGACCTATTAACACGGACCTCTTGTTCCGATAAGCCCCCGGATCACACAGGGACCAGGGCACCAGCACTAATTAACACGAGCCCCTGGGCTGACGAGGGCAGGCACGTTAAGAAAGCCCTGAGCAAGCAGAACAAACAAAGGCAAATATTCCCTAATGGGCCGGCGTGAAAGCAAAGCCCGGCCAGGGGATTATTTCTTTGGGTTTTTTTCCTATTTTATCCCCAAATTACATCAGTCATTCCCTCACTGCCTGGGGATTTGCCCGTTAATGGCCTCGCTGCTGCCAGCGCAGGCTGTGCTTCCCTGTGCCGGGGGATGCTCGGATGCGTCGCTTCTGCGAACACAAGTCCAAACACCGGAAAAAAGCCCGCAAGATGCCCAGAGAATTCTAATTCCCAACTCTTTCAGAGGTACGAATGTACCTGGGGCTTTTTTTCCCCCTTTACACTCATTTTTTTAAAGCACCAGGGCACACTCCAGCTCCATCACCAAGTTGGGTGTTTTTTCCCTCCCAGAACCACAAGAAACTTCCTTTTAAAAAACTAGAAGTACATTCTCTCCCGTTCATACGTCTGGAGGCACAGAGACCTCACAGCTTTCTTAAAATCCTCCCCAAAATGGAACGTCGGCCCAGCCCCCGCGCGGATGTGCCCCCGCACCGCAGACCCCGGTCCTCGGCTCTCGCCACGAGATACGCCGAATTTTAAAGAGCCTGAAACTTGGCTGTGCTTCCTAATGGGAGAACAAGCACAGATCTGTCAAAATCTTCCAGGAAGGAAAGAAAATTTCAAAATAAAACAAAGTGTCAGAAACGGAGTGCCAAGTGGTTTAAAAAAAAAAAAAAAAAAAAGAAAAGCCCATGTGTTTCTTTCCAAGATCTGCTGCAATGGGATATTCTGAGAGGGAGAAATTTGTTCTTGGGGTTTTTTTGGTCTGAGAAACCAGAGCAGAGGCAACAATGTTTCGGGCTGGCAGGGCCCCATTTCCCAGGGAAAAGAGATTCCTTCGCCCCCAGTAAGTTATTCCTAGCTCCTACTGGCATCAAGGGCAACATAGCCTCCTCCTCCTCCCAGGCTGCAGCTCCACCACCCGCATCCCGCTACCAGCCCCAGCACAGCCACTGCCACCAACAGGCCCGTGCCTCAGTTTCCCCACTGCTCCATCACCCCAAGGCTGGATCCTCAGGCACCTGTGAGATGCTGCCCAGGCTCCAGAAGCTTAAAATGCAATTACGTGGAGTAGATATTCTGCTGGCAGAGGCACAGCTGGCCGAGCCGATCTGTCTCCCTGCTTGGACAGGTTTATTGTTATGGCTTTTCCCTGCACAAGCCTTCCCTCCCATCCAACCCCCCCTCCACGGTGCGAAATGAAGGCGGCTCGACCGGCCGCTCCATCTCACCGACAGATTTGTCTGATTTGTATACACAGGGCAGAAATAAAAAGGGTTTTGCAGAGCCCTGGTTTCCATGGATAGCTTCCATGGGATGCTTTTTGGCATCCAAGGGTAGGGCTGGGTAGAAGCTCGACCCCTTCTCCCTCCCCATCACAAGACTGATAGGGGCATAAAAATTAACACCTCGACAATTAAATGCCAATGTCCCAGCTGCAGAAGGGGTGGCTGTGGGTTCCCCCAGCAGCCGCGGAAAGTCAAAAGGGCTAAACTCAGAGCGGCTTTCAAAAAATTAAGGTTTTGTCAACATGTTTGCAAAGAGGGCAAGGAGACTGCCTCCCAAAATACCTGTCTGCAGCAATGGGAATGGTTATACCCATCCTAAGGACTAACAGCAGTGAGATGTGGTCTGTGGGAGCTAGGCAGGACCACTCCTGATATGCCTGAAGCCCAAAAAATCACCAGGTGGAAACAAGGAGCCCCCAGTTCCCAGCCCCTGCGTTGGCTCAAGGCCAGGGTAACAGCAGCTCCGGGCGGTGGGATGAAGGCTGTGAGCGCAGGAGGTGCGATCCAAGGGCTAAAAATACTGCCAGGGGCGTGACAGTCTGCTCCCCGGGGGTGTGATACATCCGGGACTATGCCTGAACACCCCGAAGTCACCTAAACAACCCCAAACCCAATGCACGACAGGCACCCTGTGCCAAGGACAAGACGCACCCCATTAAGCACCCCACACAAAACCCCTGTGGCACTGCCGTGTGCCTGGGCAGACCGTGGGGCAAGTACTAACATGGGGGGTAAACACCAGATAGACCAAAATTTTTAAAAAAAACAAAGAAAAAAAAAAAGAGGTGGCTGGAGGGATCTGACAGGGAGACTGGTACCAGCGCCACCCAGCACCCCCCACGGTACCACTGCAGCACTGTGACTGTAAGTGCTAACGTGGGGCTTAAACAACAGATAAACCATATTTTTAAAAGAGAAGTAATAAAAAAAAAGGTGGCTTAATAGATTCACCAGGGAAAGGGGTACTGGGACTGCTTAGCATCTGGGAAAGGGGTACTGGTACTGCTTAGCATCTCCTGGGTACCACTGGCCACCCAGCATCCCTACGGGTACCAGTGGCCACCCAGCATCCCCTTCTCTAGGGATGGGGAGGAAGAATGAAGGATTCGAAGAACAGGGAGGAAAAGAAAGACCAAACAACCACTACAATGGATGGCGTCTAATTAAATCTCCGCAGCCACTGAGGAACGTGGCCGCCTGCCCACCAGCCCGCCCAGCGCTCTTTCATCTGCCGAGCCCATGCTTCTCTCGCTTCAAAGTTAATTACACACTTAAACCTTTTCTGTTTAACCTCCTGCACCATGGGACACGCTCCACGGGCTTCCCTATTCTTCTACTGAGCAGCCTTGAAAAGGCTCCCGCGTTAAAGGGCGGCCTGGCACCAGCCACGATGGATCGCACGCTCCCAAACCAGGAGAGGGGGTAACCACAGCGCCCAGAACCTTCAGGACATCATCTCACGGGGTTGCTGCACAAATAACGTCCCTAAAAGTGGAAAGGCTTTATAAAAAAAAAAAAAAAAGGTTTTATCCCCAAACCAGCAAGTACAGGCTCTCCAGAACTATGAAATTCAGGGTGGGCATCCAGGACAAAGCAAAGCCAATCGATGGGGGGGAAATCCTGTTTTGCTCCCATCTTGGCTAAACCAGGCTGGATTAGTCCCATGGGTGTCTCTGGGGTGCAGCACCTTGAGGGCACAAGCCCCCAGGCACCCCATGCTGCATGGCACAGGCACCAGCTGGGAAAGCCAACACAGGTGACCTTTTGGAAGCAGGATCAATGTTCCATCCCTGGCCTTCCCCTGCAGCTCCTGCCCCCATCCCAGGTAATTATCAGCAGGGAATCAGGACTCCCATCCCGGTGGAACACACCGCGCATCACCCCGACATGCAAACGCCCCACGCCGGGAAACAGACAAGTATAACCCATCGCCACCCGGAACACCGAGACATAGCGGAAGCGAGCATCTCCCAGATCAGCAGGTTTCACTCATTCCCAGGAGCAGGGCAGAGCTGGAGGCTACGAAGAGTCCCACAGCTCCCAGCTACCACCCAAGATCTTCCTTCAACACACAAGATGCTCTTTTAGCGCACCCAAGCTCATTACACAGGATAAATGGCTAATGCCTCTGCTACAAATAGGGAAACTGAGGCACAAAGGTGATTTGGCAAAGTCCCACAACACCGGCAGCAACCAGCATCGCCCCCGGAGAGAGCGGAAAGCTGAGGGAGCCGGGGTTTGCTGGGATACACAGCCCTGATCCAGCACGTGCCGGCAAGGTGCCATCCCTTCCCCGGCACCCGCACGCAGCCAAGCCAGCCTCCAGCCTCCCACCTCCCACAGCCCGGCTGCTATTTAAAGGCAATTTCCTCGGCACACTCCTATGGGAACGCGCCCCGGGAAGGAAACACCGGGAGCTGCTTTCCTCCAGGCGCCAGCAGACACGGGGGACAGGGAACCCGTACTGCAATTCATCTCAAATCAGATGTACTTCTTAACCAGCAAGATCTCGTGTGTACCACACCCCAGGCTCCTGGGGAGGTTATTAAGGGATAAGGGATGGGAAACCTCATTTGTATCCATGGGGTGCTCAGACTCCTGGGGGTCTGGAACTCACTCGGAGGGGCGCAGCACCAAGGAACCCAGCTCAGCAAGCATTTATAGGTGCAAAGCAGGTCCTGCACTGCAGCATCCCAGCATCCCATGCCGATGGAGACCCCCCAACCACACAGAGCACCCCACCAGCTCTGTGGCCAACCCCAAATATCCCAGGGTTTGGGTC